TCAGAACAGATCACTATTCTCACTATTTTTAAATTTGTCACTTTTCCTCAACTATTTCGGCACTATATCACTATTTCTCAATTTTTCTGCCATTATCAGCAACAACATTTTTGTGATGCCAAGCTGTCACATGTTACTTCATTAATTAATGTTTAAATACTTAAATTGTGATGCCCGTAACATCTTTCTCTTGTTGCACTTTGAAAACTTCATGTTATTATGTGACTTTTGAGGTCTTAAAAATGTTAGTTACACAATATCATAAATTTGAGAGCACACAGTCTAATGTTGACAAAATTCTTTTTCAAAGTCCAGTATTTTAATTCCTTCTGAACCCCTCACAATTAACCTTCACACCTTCACTTTGAGGGCAGGTGTTAATAAACCAGTCTAAAAATGAAAACAAAGTGCAAAAAATGATAAATAGTGTCATTTTAAATTTCTTTTATCTATCATTTTTCAATTTTTGTTTTAATAATTTCAATAATGTAACAAAATTACCGATTAAACTTTTTTCAAGTTTGTTAATATTTTATTACTTTGTAACAGCTTTACAGCTTTTTTAAAGCTTTGTAACAGATTACAGGATTTATTGATGAATAATAAATAAAAACAGTGTTTTACAAAAATATTCGAATCGGGTCTTGATCTTCCGAGTTTTTTTTCAAATCTCTGTGTTTTGAGACCTCTTGAATTCAAAAAAGGAAAAAATCCATGTGTCTTGGCATCTATTTTGTTTCATATCTCAGGATGGGGTAATGATTAAGAAATGAAATTTAGCATGGTAGCTTGTGTATAAAGAGTATTGATGCTATTAAATTTTGGTGGTTATAGATTGAGGAGTGGAAAGATAAAAAGTGATCACGTGCCATAACTTGAGTGGAATCAGACTTCATGAAGATTTTACTTATTATTAGAACTCTTCTCTACCCTCAAAATTAAACTATTTGCAGTTTTATAATTATTAATAATATAAAAGTTGTTTTTCAACATAATCTTGTAATGGACTGCAAACTAATTTTAAATTTATTCTATTACATCGTGTTTTCGTTGGGAAAGTTATGCATTTCATTTCTGGATTTTTTGTTTAATGAAATGTCTTATTTTAAGTTTTAATAATTCTGTGGCTCTGAAAACTTTTTTAATTAATAATTTTAAGCAATACAAAATTTTAATTTGCAAAATTTATGATGATGACTCATTAGAAAGAATGGTAAATATACAGGCGATTTTTTTTTTTTTTTTTTAAGAAAGACGTGCTGTATATCTTCTAATAAACACCTTTTGCATTTAATTACCAAACTGGCTGATTGACCTGGTGCTTATTAGCTTACAGTTATGTTTTACAAAAACAATGAAACTGAGTAAAGAACAGATCAAAATAAACAGATATAGCACAGGATAATTAACAACTGTTTTTTGCTAATTTTGGTCAACTGACTTGGATATGTGCACTTGAAAATGAAACTGGAAAATTCTGTGTTTTGGTTTTGTCAGAGACTGATGTCTATTTGAGTCTTTGCTGTATTTGTGTTTAACATGCAAAAATGAATTTTTCAGACCAGCATTCAGAATTGCAATACTATTTATGCAGAAGCATGAAATGAATTTTTCATGCAAATATGTGAGAAATGCACACAAACATCTAGACCCTGTGTGAGCATTAATTCTAAATTATGCTGTTTCAGCAAAATTACAAATTATGATTGCTTTATTTGTAATTACTATTAGTTAATAATGAAATTAAGTTATTGTTCTTTAAACAAAAGAAAATGTTCTCAAATTAAATTATAACATCAAATGAAACAAAACCCATAAACACAAAATAACATATGGACTCAACTCCTTACAAATAATGCATATCATCATGGCCAACTAATTTTATTTCACTATTTAGTCACTTTTTCCTTGCTGGGAGTTACTAGTCTCACATATTTTGAAGTAATTTTCTGTTCTGAGGTCTGTATGCATTAAAATGGCATGTAATTCATACCAGTAAATGGATAGTTTTGTAAAGTTGTAAAGCTATATTTGAAACTCTCCATATATACATATATATTAAATAACTGTAAAACTAATATTATTTAATAAATGAATTATGATAAATTGGAATAAAAATCCTTGTAAAGGGGTGTAAAAGGGTAAACACAGTCAAAGATGAATCTCATTGTGTTTGTATACATATGTATTTAACAGAACATTAACAAATTTAACATTTTTATACATATACTCAGTTAAACTTGGATTACATTTGGGCTGTGATAAGACTAATAAATGATTAAACCATATAATTTCATGTAAAGATAAACAGTTAGACTGAAATTTTAATAATAATTCAAATTTAATTAAATTAATTAGTGTAGAATAAGATTGTAGAAGAAAAGAATGATCAGATATAGGAGTTGTGATGCAATTACTTCTACTTACCATGCAAATGTTTTACCAGTTATGCTATCTAAGACCTCCATCTGATCTTTGCTTCCAGACTATAATTAATCATTTATTAATTCATTTTATTATAACCCAAATGTAATCCAGTTTTAGGTTGCTTGAATCAGAATGCAGGAATTAAAAATTCAAACTTAAAAATTCAGGTTGGTTGTTTGATCATATCTAATTTTCATATACAAACATATGTAAGATATGCTGATGGGGAGGTTAATCTCTCTTCTTATCTAGATGAACAAGGGATGCAAACATAATGTGGGTGTGATTGTCAACATTGAGACAATCGTCTTTACATAACAAGCCATTTATTTAGAAGACAATGCTTACATAATTCTGGCCATAGATTTTTTCTTTTTTTGTCAGAAACTAATGTGCAGAGTTCAGTCTATAGATCATTGTTGTTTATCTACAGTGATCTGACAGCAATCAGTTGGTGTTTTGATGATGCTCAGATGAAGTTTTGATAGCAATCAGTGGCCAGGGCAGATTGGCTGGAAGTCTCCATAGTGCAGTTGAACATAGGTGAAGCAATGAAGATGAAAGTCAAGATGACAGGAAAACCAGCACAGAGGACAAACAAATTGAAGGAAAGAGAAGCAACTACCACTTTTCCTTGAATCTAGGGGTTTTTAAAGGATTTGTTCCCAAAATTCTGAATTTAATTGGTCCTTTTCTTATTTCCAAGTGAAATTAGATGACCAGATTGAGTGTGGGAAAGTTTGCTCTGTGTTAATCAATTTGACACCTCTGTTCAACTTCATCTGCAAGTGTTGATTGAACTTTGAAACTTACACTTTCATGTGATGATACTTTCTTTTCTGACACCTAAGATTTTCTGTGTTTTCATAACTTACGACATGATAGCTTTTCTTTTAAAGGAATGATAACATTTTCTTGTTTATTTCTGAATTTTGTCATGTCTACAAGCATTGGACTGAAAGCTCGATTTTTCTGATTGATATTCTAAACATTCCAACCCATTAGTTTGCAACACAGGGTCAACCATATTGTTTATTTCATACATTTTTTATAACAAAATAATTTCTTAAATTAATTGAAATTTTGTATGTTTACTGAGGGATTCAGACTCTGACTGGGAACACACACACACACACACACACACACACACACACACATGTAACATAATAATAAAAAAGTTTTTTTGCATTGAAAAATGTTTTAAAACAGTGTGCAAAATTCAAATTTCATATAAATACAAATCAATTAAAAAAGATAAGTCAAACCCTGGTATTATGATATTGGTTTATGCATACTAGATTTACAGTCCCATTGATAAGGACAGGCATTTCATGTTAATGAGTTTGATTAACATAAAATATTAATTAATATGTAATATGAAACGTATCACAGCCCCATGTCTTCAATAACAATTATATTATTCAGTTGTAGAATTTTGTCAGATGGCAATTATGTAAAAATAAATTTTGTATTCTGAAACACAAAGTGAATAAATGGTGGTTCCTTTTTTGGACAGACTTTGCCTTAAAATTTATTTTTAATTACAGTATATTATTGTTTATACAAAGCATATTACTATTAATTTCCTCAAAGTCATGCAAACCAAAATGGCAATGTACAAGTTGCATCGTGACCATGTGTTTTGACTGTCACAATGCTTATAACATCAATGCTGTTGCTATCATTGGCAATGCAGGTACTGTATATGCTGCACCAACAATGTTCTGCGATTTTTCAAATTGCAGAACATTGTTGCAGAACATTTCTATAAATTGCAGAACATTGTTGCAGAACATTTCTATTATAGTTAGTGCTTTATATACTGTGACAATGTTACATCCAGACAATTGGCATTCACATTGAAAATCAGAAGTTAATAGGATTGTGAAATTTTTGGTTAAAAATCTGTAGTTTTATGCAATAGTTCTTATTTTTAATTGTTTTAATATTAAAAATCATATTATAATTCAGTTGTTTTATTATTATAGAAATTGTATTATTAAAATTAAAAACAAACAGTTTACATTGAAATTTAAGCAAATAAATAAATTTGTAGTTTTTGTATGTAGCCAGTTCCTGGATTTAATTTGGCAGTAAGGTCAGCCTGTTATATCCAATAGTTTAAATCTAGTGACTCAGATGTTGAAAAATGAGCATTGATGCTTTTTAAGCCACTGTAGAAATGTGCATGGGGAATGCACATCTCTAAAGTGATTACAGTAATTTTTTTTCAAATCACTGCATCCCAATAAAGTGTGCTTGGAGCAAAATACATTTAAAAAATAATAAATAAATAAACTTATCCAAACAAGAAAAAACTGAAATAATGGGGGAAAATTTGGCTTTTGCCATTTTTCCCCCTTTGATGGTAAGACCATTGATTTTTTTGTAAAATTTACTTTACACAGACTATCAATTTTTAAATCCTTTCAACTTTTTATTAGTGGGATTTCACTGTATTTTGAATTTTGTATTAAAAATAAATTGGATTTTATTTTTGTTCAGAAAATTAATAGTTTATTTTTCTTTTCACTACAGTACCTCAAATAAAAATTTATTTAATTATTTTACAGAATAATGAAGATTTAGATCTTTTTGTTGTTGATCATGATTCTTGGGGAAAAGGACTAATTAAAAAATGCAAGGTAATCTAATCTAATTAATTAAACAAATAAGATTGATTTATTTTCAACATTTTACAAACATGACACAAGTTTACAGGCGTTTATTTATAAGGAAGAATACCATATATAATTGCTATGTAATAAAAATTTTATCATTAAAAAAGTCTTAAAATTTATTTTATGAATACAATTCTAATTATCTGATGACATTACTCTGATAAGATTTAAAACACAATTATTTTTATAAAACCATAGACAATGACATTCATTAATAATGGATATTTCATTCTGATATTAGTTTTGAAATTATATCTTTTCTATAAAAAAGTATATTTTTAAATTATTGAACTTACTTATTTTGAAGAAATAAGTCAACTGTGAAACATAATCTCAAATTATACTTTGTAGAAAATTAAAATGTAAAAAATTAAATATTCATCATAAGTTTAAATTATTATTACATGTTACAAAGAAAACTAATTTTAATTTATAACTCTTAACTTTCTATTTAAATATAAAAGTTTTGAAGAAAGTAACATATTTGTTTACATTCTTTTGTGGTCCTGAATCAATGATAAATTTTTTAATTATGCAAATTTTTCTGTCAAATGATATCAAAATAATTCTGGTTACAATTTTATTTACATAGGAAGTGACTTACTTTCTATTAAATAACTATATATATATACAAAACTATATAAAATAGAATATTTACCAAATGAAAATAGTCTTGCATTCAATGAGTCCCTAATCAACTAGAGAACTAGAGTAGAAAATGAGCAATATGTCTAATGTTGCAGTGTTGGTTCAGTGATAAAAAAAATTACACCACAAGATCAGAGGTACACTGAATGATCAGTTAACAAACAAATTGGATAACGAACACTTTCGCGAAAGATTTTTATGATCGGACGACGAACACATGTTCGGATAACGAACACTTCACTGAATAAACACAAGAAGAAGCGACATAAAGTAACGAATACCGATTGGTTTTCCTTTGTCTTCAGGCAACAATTCAAAACTTTTCAGAGGGCGGGAGACGTCGACATTGACGTCCAACCCAGTATATACTGATTGGATAGTATTCCCCCAAACTTTGTAACTCTCCCTTGTAATTCCAGCTTTTTATATTTCTGATAGAAACAATCCTTTTACGTTTTCTTCTGAAAAAGCGGATTTATGCCGATATCTGCTATTAAAGATCTTTTAAAGAAGTGGGAGGATGTCAGAACAAACCAGGTTGAGGTTAGTAGGCTTAGAGATCTCTACAATTACAATGCGATTAATTACTACTGAANTGAAAAAGCGGATTTATGCCGATATCTGCTATTAAAGATCTTTTAAAGAAGTGGGAGGATGTCAGAACAAACCAGGTTGAGGTTAGTAGGCTTAGGGATCTCTACAATTACAATGCGATTAATTACTACTGAAAAATCATGAAGACAGAAAAGCATTGATGTACACACACTCAGCAATAGTATATAAATCAAAAAACAAAACACCTTAATTTGCTGAGAAAAAATGTGATTTCGGCAAAATTACAAAGTTCACGTATGATAAAAAGAGAAAAGACATCATGAAGGAAATCGCGGTCCGCAAAAAATCCAAGTTAATTTTCAAGAGGGCTCCTAACCTGTATAAATTATTAAGGAATGACAAAGACAGAGTAGATAAAGAAAAAAGAGCTGGAGTATACAGGATTCCTTATGAAAATCGTGAATTGGACATCAATAAAAATTATATTGGTGTCACTAATAGAAGTTTAGGAGTCAGAATAAAAGAGCATAAGTATAACATCAGCAAGGGATCTAGTGCCACTATACTATCGCAAATGGCGCAAGTTGAAGGCTCAATCGTCAAATGGGACGAAGCAGAAATTATTAAATCGGTACATTCACCGACATTGGCGAATTGCGCAGAAAAAATTGAAATATATAAAAGCAAATTGCATGATTCATGCATCAATTCTAGNACGAATACCGATTGGTTTTCCTTTGTCTTCAGGCAACAATTCAAAACTTTTCAGAGGGCGGGAGACGTCGACATTGACGTCCAACCCAGTATATACTGATTGGATAGTATTCCCCCAAACTTTGTAACTCTCCCTTGTAATTCCAGCCTTTTATATTTCTGATAGAAACAATCCTTTTACGTTTTCTTCTGAAAAAGCGGATTTATGCCGATATCTGCTATTAAAGATCTTTTAAAGAAGTGGGAGGATGTCAGAACAAACCAGGTTGAGGTTAGTAGGCTTAGAGATCTCTACAATTACAATGCGATTAATTACTACTGAAAAATCATGAAGACAGAAAAGCAATCGACATTGGACAGATTCTTTAACCTCCACAAACGGAAAAAACATGACAAATAAATATGCAAGACCGTGTATATATGTATTTTTATTATTACATATGAATAAATGTAGTAAGAAAGTATATACTTTTTATTTTTTGGGAGTCTCTAGAACGAATTAATCAAATTCCCATAGAAACCTATGGTGAACTGATAATTGGTTAACGAACAATTCGGATAGTGAACAAAGTCTTAGAACGGATTATGTTTATTAACCGATCAAACACTGTATTTATGTTTAATTAGCACAAACTAACCAATAAGGAATAGGAATTTTTGAAATTCAGCACTTCTAACACACATGGAGTTCTGCTTTTTGAAATTAAAGCATTCTTTACAAGCATTGTTCTACAATTGAAAAACTATAGAACCTGAAGATGGGGCTTAAGACCACTGAAAACATTTTTTCAACATCGTAAATATTTCACTTTACTGCTGGAGTTTGAGTGTGTTATGTAAGTTAGTTTCTCCATTTGCAATAGTAGTTTTAAAGTAGAAAATAAGTTTAGAAGAAATCAGCATTTAATCTGTGTTTTCTTAAAGTATTTTTCTGACTTGACTGACTACTCTGTCAATCTTTTCTTATAAGATGTATTACCCTGTTTTTTTATAAGATTTCTACTTGATTCATTTTTTCAGTTCTGATCTTGATATCTTCTTTCTTTGAATGCCACTGGAGACAGAATAAAATTTTTTCTCCAGAGCTAGTAACTTGATTTTTCTTCTGATGTATCTATTTTTATCATTTTTATTTACATATTTTATTTATTTTTTTTGGATTCTCAATTTTTCATTAATTTCAAGGTGTAAAGAAAAAAGAAAATCATATGAGTTTCAAAAACTAGATATATTACTGGAGTTCTAATGAGTGAACTCTAGATATGAACCGGTTTCTGGTTACATTACCTCTTTTTGATAACTTTAAAATTTATGCACCTTTTTAAATTTTCCTTTGGTTAATTTTTTCACCTTGTTGTAAACAAAGAATAAGTCATGATTATATTTGAATCAGCATACATTATATACAGTATATCAATTTAAATAATTTTTCATGTATATAGAAAACTAAGAAAAACTTAACTTTAAAATTGAAGATTTAACAGAAAATGTAAATAAAAAAGATTTATTTAAACAAAAATTAAGTACTGGGTGATAAAACAAAAACTTTACTCAAGAGAAACAGAGTGAGAAGTTTGGCAACACTGTGACTCAGACTTGGTGATGATGTAAGTTGGTACCATCTAATTGACTTGTAATATATTGTGGATTCTAAAATGTAATACTCGTTTATCATAAAATTTCATAAAACTGTCATTCTTACAAATGTAGTAAATCACTGCTTACTCATTTTTTCATCTACTTATCTTTACGTATACTATTTCAGCAATATCATCTGATGTACCACTGAATTCCACATCTGCAGACTTTTGTTTATAAAACTTGTTACCTCAATAGAAATATACATCTGATAACTTTAATTTTATACAATTCATATGTCTTAAAACTAACATTTTTGTATTGCTATATGTGTCAGAGATATACCATTATACATAAATTTAGGTGACATGATGCAATATCCTACAAATCAGCAGCATTTTGTAGTTTGGTTAAATATGCATTCATTCATTTATCATTTCGAAGGAACAGGAATATGGAATTAAATAGGATTTCAGGGATGATTATTGAACATGTTTTCTTAGAAATGTTATTACTGGCCTAATTTATTCTCATATTAGCAGACAGGATAGAAATATCAACAATGTCAAAACATCAAGTAATAAATGGTTTATAGTTACTGGAAAATATGTAGTTAACATCCTAATACGTATAGTTATTATATCTACCTGCAAGTCTTCAAGATAAATACAACAGTTATGCAGATCTTATGCTCATATAAGGGTGAAATAGATAAATAATGTTGGAATTAACATAATTTTATCTTGTAGTAAAAATCCTCTTATTTATTATCAGTTTCACTATAATAAAAGAACATTCCTTTATGTTTCTAAAGGGATCTTACCCAATGCCACATCACTATTAGTATGGGGCTTAAATACTAGAACAAGCTACAAGAGCATCCAGAAAGTAAAGAATGTTTGTGAAAAAGGATGAAATGAAAAGAAACTTTTATTTTAATGTTTCTTCTATTTTTGTGAATTTTTTTTTCCTAGGTGCACTTGACCTTTTTATCAATATTAATAAGTACTGTACAGGTAGCCCTCGGTTTACGCCGGTTCACAATACCGCCGCTGCGCAATTTGCCGTTTCGAGGTGTAATTCCCCGATTTTCCCTATTCTAGACTGATTTTCATTTCAGTGTTGATGTATTTACCAAGCTGCGACATTGTACATTTGTTAAAACAAATATTTTTATTAAATATGTTTATTTTTTCTGTTTAATATTATTGGGTATGTATACATTTGCATTAAATTAATATTAAAATACTAAACGTTTAGGTACCCACAAGTCAAGATATTAAACTTAATAGTCCAATAAATGGCGTCCGAATTCATAGCACTAATGAATGTATCCCGTATCAGTTAATTCAGGAAAACACCTTACGACGCAATAGCACTTCCGGTGATCACAAATTATCGTTAGTGAGACAAATCTACTTCTTGTTGGCCAGACGATATTTATCTCTCCTTAGCCACCTTGAATTTTCCTGCTCAAACTGACCTTATATATGCACTACAGTGACCAGTGGTCGACCAGTCAGTGTCTTTGCTCGTCCATAGCTCTATGTCAGGTTAACGTATCCTTTCAACTAAGGAAAGTTTGACAGATGAAGTTTGTGAGTTAGACAATGTTGGGAGCAAAGTGCAAATGTAAAAAGGAGCATCATATTCGACCATACTCTGAAATTCTTAATGAAAGAAATCAAAAATGTAAACAATTAAAGATGAATACTTTTTTCCGAAAAATGTAAGAAATTCGAAACTAAAATTTTTAAATAAAAACATTTTACTTTATTTTATGATAAAATACATTTTAAAAATTAAAAATTTATATGTATTTTGTATTATATTGTATTAATAAACAAAATGATTAGCTTATTTTTCACTTATGTAGAACCTAACCCTATACCTCACTGTAAATACAGGTTCGTTTTACGCCGATTCGATTTGCGCCGGCTTTTGTAGGAACGGAACTGCGGCGTAAACCAAGGGCTACCTGTATATGAAATTAGCAATACTTAGATATGGTTATTAAACTTCTTCAATTTCTATTCTTAAGAGGTTTAAATTTTCAAAATTTCCTAAAAATTGTTTGTTTAAAAATTTTCTATATAAAATCCAAGTATAATGTTTTATTTTTAATTTTCAAAACTCTTTTTTTTGTGTAATTGTTCTGAATATTTGAATTTAAATTTAGTTCTAAGATATGAATTCTGTTCTGTACTATTCTAAACTGTTAAATGGATGGTTCTATGCTGTGTAGACAGATTATGACTAAAAAAATTTGTTTAATGAAAAATGTTGGCTTTCTGAAATAAGCAAATAAGCAAATCTTTCTTTTGTAATGCTAGCTTGTTATTGTTATTTAGTTTGTGTTGTAATAACTGGAAATGCCTTATACTAGACTTTTCTTAGTGAAAAATTACATAAAGAAGAAAAGTTACATTAAAAGCACACCAACACCTGTAATCCAGTTTATTATACAATTTCCAACTGTCTTTAACAGCCATCTTCAGGTTATGGAATGTTACAAAGAACAATATTCAAAAACAAAATTAAAATAAAATAGAATTTGTTAAATTTGTTCTAGTGGTTGTATGTGTGTAAAAGAATGTTGAAAAAAATTGAATTAAAATAAAATACAAAACAATATAACAAGAGTTTAATAGTATATATAAAAATATCAAAATTCAAGTGTAATCCTTATTTGTTTAGAGTTCTGAATGTTATCTCTTAAATCTTGAACAATTATTTCTAGAATCAAGTGCTTCTTGTGATGTATAGCAGGATAGTAACAAGCTTGGTCAATTCACAGCATTGTCAATCCCTTACTTTATTTCTTGTGAGCAAATGCTTCATTTGATCATCTGGTAATAAATTTTGTTTTTTAAGTTAAAGTTGTTTCAATCATTATGAAGGCTTTCTTATATAAATTTGAAGGAATTATATTTGTAATTTAGTGTTTTCTTAAAAAATCAGTGTTAATACCTGTTGAGAAATTATTTATATCACAATGACTTCCAGTTTGGAGCAGAATATTCAAAAATTTTATAGGCAACTACTTTGTAATGGTTAAGAAAGATAGTTTATTATGGTGATAACGTACTATAAATATGACAATTTTTACAACAAAAGCCAGTGTTTTATAGTAAGAAGAAATGTGATGTACAAAAACAAAAACTTGCAAATGGTTAATATTAAAAAAAGTGCTTCATTAAGAAATTATGGTCATTAGCAAAGTGGATATTTTATTGTCACAAATTATTTAATTCAGATAAGTAATTATTACATATGAAATTCACTTCGAGATTAAATATTTGTAAAATATAAAACTCAATAATATGAAAATATATATTTGATTTAGTATTTTATACAAACATCATTTTTATTTTACAGATCTCCCCAGATGCTTTTATTCAAACAGCATTGCAATTAGCATATTTTAAAGATGCAAATAAATTTGTTCAAACTTATGAAGCATCAATGACTAGAATGTATCTGGGTGGAAGAACCGAAACAGTACGATCTTGTACAATTGAAAATGTGGAATTTGTAAGGTTGTATAAAGAGTTTCTTAAATAAAATTTTATTTTAATCATCTAAACAAAACACTTAAATTACTAATTTTAGATCTATGACAAATTCCAAAAGTACTAAAAAAGAGAGGGCTGAACTTCTAAAGAAAGCAGCTATTAAGCATCAGCAATTATATCGAGATGCAATGAATGGAAAAGGTGTTGATCGTCATCTCTTTGCCCTGTATGTTGTATGCAAAGGATTAGGACATGTATGTATTAATTAAATTGTATATTATTATTATTTTATTGTTTTTTCAATTAAAATTAATTAAAACTATATAAGTAAGTGAATTTTAATTTTTAAAGTTGATATGTTTTGTTGAGAATGATATATTAAAATTTTGCTGTATAATTAAGATTTACAATTAATAATTTATCTTTATTTTAAGTATAAAAACTAAATTATGGTCTAGAATTTCATGATACTAAAACATTAATAATTGTTACTTAAAATGTTCTCAGTTATTCTAAATAGCTATCTTTTAGTTTTTTTCAATATAATAATGAGAAAATTCTTACTTATTAATTCAAACATTAGAGTAAATATTTTAAATTATAAATTAATAATTATGAAAAATAATTATGGTTATTCTGAATTATTGAATGTCTGAAAGAATAAATTAGAATTTTTTAAATTTTTGTTTTAGATATGTAGATAGATTATCTTTAATAAATATTTGTATTAAAAACGTTAAGAAATAGATAAGTATTCGGCAAAAATTTGTAGAATACTTCTTTAGTAAGCTTTTAATTAATTTGACTTCTTTCTTACCATTAGAAGCAAAAGCATTTTTAACTGAAGTGATAGATAAAAAGAGCATCAAACTTTATTGGGAAAGAACAATGATTTCAGGTATTGGTTACATTAAAAGTTAAACAAGTAGCATTCAAAGCTGATAAAAAAGTATTGACAGAAAACTGACACATTAAAAGAGAGATTAAGAAAAATGAAGTGACTTGCTTTAAGTGTAATAATAAAGGACATTTTGCAAAAACTTATCCTAAAAACAAATGTAAAAGATACAGTATATATATGTGATTATTCTTTTTAAATAAAGGCTTATTTTAGAAAGGAGATATGCAAAAAGACAAGGACAATCATTTCTATTTCTTTATATAATGTTCTGTAAATTCATCATCACATTTATGTTGAGATAATATTGTTAAGTCAGTGTCAACTATACATAAGTAAAAATTAATGTAGTTCTTTTTTTCTTGAAATTATGACATTGTTACAAATGCCAATTATTATTATTATTATGTTTTATTAATTATCAGAAATGTATATGACATCTGTCAAAGAAGCTTTAGATATAAATAATGCTTTTTTCATATTCAATGATGCTATTTACAATAAATTTGATGTAAATTATTGATGAATCAGGTAAACTAAATATTGTTTACTGTTGAATGGCTGCATTGCAAATCTTTAATAAGCACCATGAGTTTATTATACATAAAAATGCTAAAAACATGATTCCTTCATGTTTCTTAAAATTTTGCTGTTTTCTTACAGGAAAGTGAATTTTTAACAAATGTCATCACTCGGCCATGGATGTTATCTACAAGTCAGACTCCCCATACTCAGCTGGCCTCTGCTCCGGATGCAAATTTACCAATATTTAAAGATAAGGTAATGTAAGAATTACAATTTTTAAAATTCAAGAATATTTTGATTTAGACAAAACTATGTAAATTATTTTCAAAATACAGCTGTGTCCCGGTGGAGGATTTGGACCTGTTTCAGATGAAGGTTATGGTGTGTCATACATGTTTCCAAATGATGAAAAAATATTCTTTCACATATCTTCAAAGCGAACTTGTCCGAAAACAGATTCTAGGCAATTTTCAAAGCATATTTTTACCAGTATGGAAGACATGATAAAGTTGTTTGATGATGATAACTTAAAAACAAATTATTAAATTTTCAAATTAAAACAAATTTTATATATGTATATATTAAATTATGTATGGATATTCTGTATATGTGAGTTTGTTTATTATAAGAAGCAAGTGCCTATATAGCTATATTTTAATGATGAGTTTTTGGTTTTTCCCCCACCATTATTATCTATTGCATTCATGTGTTGCATAAAGCAAGATTTGATAATGGACCAATTTGTTATAAATAAAATATATTTAGTATGTTTATTGTATCACCTGTCTATTATCCGACAAACTGAAAGAAAATCACAAAAAGTTTTTTTGAATAATACTTTTATTACAAAATTAGTATGAAAAATTTTCATATAAATACTTGTATCTATACAGTGAATTACTGTACAATGCATCTATTCTAAATACTTGTATGAGAAATATTGTTCATTTTCACATGCTGATATTTTGAGGACTATGAAAACTGCTAACTTGGAGCAGTTTGACATAGGGCAATAATATGTACATTAGCATTATAAATAATAACTTTTTCTGTTGTTTCAAATAGCAATGATTAACATAACATCTTCATTAAAAGATGTTATCAAAAACATGAGATTTTTGGCAGTCTCTTTAAACATGTACTATAATATGATAATGAATCAGTAAATTTGCCACAAATTGAAACAATTACAAGTGCAGTTTAACTACATAATCTCTAAATTTTGACAATACTACTAGACTTGAACATTTTAGTATTTTCTTAAATAATTTAAATTATAAGAGAATATTTTAATAACAAAACATATACACATTCACATAAATTCAGTGAGCAGAACCAGCATAATTATTCTTGACAAATCTCAGGCATTGTTGGTCCCTATTTTGATTTTCACTAACACAGTCTTGGCTCTGTTCAATCAATTTTGTGATGATAAACTAAGACAAAGATGGAGAAAAATTTAACACTAAGAATTATCTAATGCATAGTATGACTACTTTGTGCAGAAATTAATAAATATCTGTTTAAGCTTCACCAAAAAAAAAAAATACAAAATGTTTTGTATACTACTTGATGATTTAATTAATACAGTTAAAATCTGATAACTTTCATTAGATAAATCTAACATTTTCAACAAATTGCAGGCATTGACAACAATCGTCTTCTATTTTATAACATCATTGTCATATTTAATATTATTAAAAATATAATAAATGAGATACAATATTTTTGTATTGTACAGTGTGAATTCAATTTTTTTATGATTACATCCAACAGTATGTTCTGTAATTTTTCTTCTTGCCTTGAACATGGTGTAGATTAATCATTCATTACGATATTTAAGTGAAATGCATAAGGACGATTATACTTTAGAAGAAAGTAATATATAATTGCTAGTGGTTAAACTCATGAATGTATTAAAAGAGTAAGTATTTTTGTTTTTTTAAGTTGAATTGTGACAGCATTTCTATAAAATGGACAAATAGAAAATAAAAGACAAATGATTCTAAAAAGAGTTTATCAAATTCTTTCTGTTGACTTTTTCATTGAAATACTATCATTGAGACTAAAGATTTTCATCTGTTTATAATAATTCGCGTGATGTGAAGATGGTTTTAAAAGATGAAAATTTATCAATTCTTTTACAGAACTGTAATAATACAGTTTGTGACTAAAAATATTTACAACAGATAAATGGGTTTTTAAATGAGCATACATACCTCATTCATTCATGAAAGGCAATTTCATTGTTATAACAACATTAAATCTCATTTATACCCTGCATTCCTGGCTAAAATTTAGCCTCATATTTGAGCACGTTAACTATAACATTATGACAATTCATTTTCAAAAGTAATGAGTCAAATAAGAATTGATTTGCACCACAAATGATAAAAAATTGCTAATTGACAATTTTTTTCCTATATAAAACAGCATTATGAGCTGAGCATCAATTTGTCAACATTGATTTTCCATATCAATGGAAACTGATAAAAGATTCCATTTGATTGAGAAAAGTATAGTTAATTTATTTCCTAGTTGTCTTGAACACATTTAATATTTTTGGTGCTTTTAATGCAATCATTGATCACAGTTATGAAGGAATTTATTGGTGTATCATTCTTATTTTTGTTTTGATCACGTACCACTTAATCATGCAAACCCAGCAAACTACTTGGATTCAATGGAAGCACGTATCATTAATTACTATTCTTATACAATAGTTCGTTTTAAGATGGGCAGTTATTTGATTTGTGATAAAGTTAAAAACAATTTACTTATTTCCTTAACTTTCATAATACAACTTCCATTCTGTTTCCTTTTCTTGAGATTTTAACTTGACCAGGTTGAGCATCTGGAAGTCCTGAACATTTAAAGGTGATTATGACTGTTTCTTTTCCAAAATTTGCTTCAAATCTGTCAAGAAGTAAATTAATTAATATCCTAACAACATTTCTTAATCCTCAAAAATCCAGACATTTGAAAATATGGCATATGACTAAATTAAAGCTAGCAAATTTGAGATCAAATAATACATTTCATTTCTCACTTTTATCTTTAAAAAATTACAGGAACATGATAAGATTTACAATATGACTGTTGTTCTGGGTATTATTTGAATTTTTAAATAATTCACTAATGTCTGGATTTTTGGTAAAAGAAAATTTAATATAGAATTATGAAACTGGACTTACTCTGTTGCTATACTAATGTCTGGGGGTTTTCCTGTAGCATTTTGAACAACAAGATATAATTTTGTTACAATTTCTATAACGTGACCAGTCTCAAATAGAAAATCACCTTTCTTTTTTGTAGCTTCTGTCTGAAAATATTTGATTAACAATTAAACTCCTGACTGATGGAAATGTAATGAATTATCAAAAGATTATCAGCAAGTAAATTAATTATATAATTTTAATTTAGTACATATATAAATATACAATTTCAATTCAGTGTAATATATATCTTTAAGAGAAATAGACTTTTCTACGAAACTTGATGCTCCAAGGAAATATACAGTATATCAATTGTTTTTATGCTACTTTCTATGTTATCGTTGGCATACTGATAAAGAAAAACATATAATTTGAACGCTACTACATATTACAATATATAGTATTTGTTTTCCATACAGCAAACAGTTTTTTTCTGATGTAGATGATCTGAAAAAGTGTAAAGAATTGCATGAACCAGAGAAAACTTTTCTTTTTTATTTACAAATATGTAGTGGTGATAACAATAGTCTAGGACCTCCTGAATCACAACACACCACTGAGAAAATTTAATTCAGAATTATTGGTATAATTAAATAATACTGGATTTGTCAGGCCACAACTTTGTTAAGGCAATTTTTTAATATTTGTGGCAACACTAATTAATTTAATTCTAATTATTTAGTCCCAAATTTATTTATTTAGAATACTCTGGAATAAAAGATTCAGGTTTGAGTCCTGTTCACTCTGCAGTTGTGTTATGATATACTGCATGATGTGAATAGTCCTTTTGGTTATGAACAGATAAAACCATGTGAGGTGAGTTGATAGAATACACATGTCCCTATATTGCTGGGATTAAGTATAATATGAATAAAAGTATACTCAAAGTATTCTCCCCAACTTAAACTCAGTTTATATTCATACTATCCATTCTCTACAGATGCATGAGCAAGTTTTGAGTATTTACCAAAATGCTATTATAAGAACAGCTAAGTTCCAAACAGCTACAATGATGTATGTGATTGAACACAATCAAAAGCTGGAGCAGTTGAGTTACTGCACTTTTCCAGTTTGCCTCTGAGCTCAGGATGTCTCCCTGTTGGGACAATACTAGATTATTATATAAGATCTAAGGACAGATCTTATATAATAATCTAGTATTGTCCCAACAGGGAGACATCCTGAGCTCAGAGGCAAACTGGAAAAGTGCAGTAACATAGTTAACATGGGCAAGATTTTTGACTTACATAAACTAATATAAATTTGAATTTTTTTGGTTTTATATTTTTCAACATATTTATTTTGTTTGTATAAAATAAAAAAAAATAATTTTTAACTATACAATAACCATGATTATTATTTTAAAAAATTTATGTTATGCTTAACATTGACGAAAATTCAACATGAAGCGACACGCAACAGAGAAAAATTTCAACATGGGATAGGTTAATCAGGAGCAGCCCTAGGGTGGTGTGAACGGTGATACCGCACCAGGCACCGAAAATGCAACACTAGATCGTCTGCAAAAAGAATAAAACTTGATCATCTTATTACTACTTAACCCTACCTGTCAAAATAAATACCAAGATTAAAGAAACCAATATTTATACATTTATTTCCTTATTCCCTTTTGTTCTCTGTCTTTCTAGAACTTTCTTTTCATTTCCTTTCTTCCCTTTGGGTGGGACCACCAATCTCAAGAACTGAAGACAATGGGAGAGTTAAGGCCCAAGGATTGATAAGACAAAAAGAACATGTTAATCTTGACTGGACATTTGTGGGAGTAAGATGTGAAGAGAAGAGTGTTCCAGATCGTGAGTAGGCGACTAGGGGCTACTTGAAACCGAATAATTCCGAAGGAAGGACAATGAGATCTCGCACCACCTGAAAACCTGGCTAGGGCTGCCACTGAGGTTAATATATTTTTTCGTACATACTCAATTATCCAAAAAATAAGTTATTTGAACAACCCCAGTCCTCAATTGATTCAGATAAACAAAGCTCTACTGTAATCACCCTAAACGTACATATTGGTTTAATAAAATCTGAATGAGCTTTCCAATTGAAAACTGTGGTGTGATAAGTCCTTAATAGATATATGTAATTTGCTATAGATTTTAAGATGATTTATTACAATATAGGATGTAAAACATTTTTTAATTGCTACAAGATGATAAAACAAATAAGAATAATTAATTGTTTTTGTATAAATTGTTTCCTCCATCATCATTATTAAAACCAAAAATTACAGATTCTGTTTAGAAATTAAAATAAACATATAAATATCTAAATCTTTGATAACGAACTGAATTCCTTATAAATAATTGTTTTTTATTTGAATTTGAAATAAATTTAAAATATGTTATCATCAAATACATTCTTTATACTTACAGCTCTAACATGAAAAACTGCAATATCATCCATGTATGGACTTAATGATATCCTAAAAATATCTGTTGCAGGGATACGATATTTGATTTGAAGTGTACGTTGGTCCATTACCAACATTGAGCTGGTGCTGACAACAAATAATGTCTGCAGGCACTAAAAATAAGATATTTAAAAATTTATTTCCAATAAATTTATATTTTATTCTTAAAGAAATATATTTCCAATCATAATAATTAAATATTTTGAAAATAGTAAGTTCTTTTAAAAATATTTTTTATTAAGGATTTATGTGAATTTTAACTGAAAATATGCTCTAGTTAAAAATACTTGATGCATATAATGGTATTCGGAAATTTTGAAAATGCTTGATTTTATGGTATGACCAAAAGATTTGTGCATTTTTGCAATAGCCAATATTGCAAGAACTGCATGAACTTTTTAATTTAAGAAATTTATCAAGTGACCAAAAAATGTATTATTGGGTTGTTCGGAAAGTAATTTCGTTTTTTTTTTACCACTAGACGGATTAGTCTTATTTTTCCCACCATTTTCATTCTAAACCGTATTATCATTATATATTTTGACAACTAGCATTTTAAGGCTTATTTGTAAAAAATTTTGTTTGATTTTGTGCAATTGTTTATTTTCTGTGTCCCTTCAAATATGGAAGATCGAAAGCAGCATTTTCGGCATATTTTGCTCTTTTATTACCGAAAAATCAAAATGCTGTTCAAGCAAGAAAAAATTGTGTGATGTGTGTGGAGAAGATGCATTTATGCTGTGATAGGTGGCATGTGTGTATACAAGCATTTCATATATAAAGTTGACATGAAGAGTGCATGCGCATAAGTTTGCTTTATTCAAATTCTTTGTCTTAATGTTCAATTTTATGTTTGAATTTATATTTATGAATGATTCTGGAAGATCCAGGTTATTTTTCAAATTTAGTAAACCTGAAGAAGAACCCAGAAAGAGTTACAAAAACATTTATTCATCACTTAATGTACTATGCACTGGTTAGTGGTTGCAGTGAGTCTTAATTATCGTTATCCCGGTGTAGTAAGCAGATATCTAAAAATTTTATAATTAGTTTCAGAAGAAGGGGAGTCTTGCACTTGATAAAATGGGAAAGATCAGCTATAATCTAATAATCTTAATCTTCGCTATTAATACTTTTTCCCGAGCAATGCCGGGCTCATCTGCTAGTTATTTATATATATTTGGTGTTCTGATATAAATTTTTAATCACTTAGCAACATTACAAATTTCAATTAAATACAATAAAATCACATTCAGGAAGTCACTTGATTAATGTGAATCATCTTGTGGTCCTCAGACTTGTCTTTTATAACTCATATGGTTTTTCTCATAAAAAGGTTGAAATCCCTGGACTACTGGATATGGCTACTGATGTAAGAGCAACAGGTGAAAAACAATTGTGTGACAATATTGTGAAATGAACATTAAACAGTATTGGATTAAAGTGTGGCCGTCAGCCATAATATTGTATATTTGTATTTATTAATTTTAGTTACTTCTAGCCTTTTCTTTGTTTCTTTGTTCTCTCTTTTCCTAAAACTTTCCAACGACCGTTATCGCCTTTGGGTAGGATTAGCCATTCTAAGAATCTGGGAAGATAATAGAAAGAGTGAGGCCTGGGGAATAGCGGCCGAGAGATAAGACACTTTTCGACTAGACACAAAGAGAGTCGGACGTGTCGCAAGGAGCTCTGAATGAAGTTTTGTAGAGAGGACAGAAGTTCAAGATAGTCCAGCAAGGGAACGAGATAGATAGTTTGAAGTAAGAGAGAACCTTGATAAGTGATAGAGAAAAGTGGATCCTGAAGATGGAAGCCACCATAACAGAACCCAGGTCTTACCCAAAGTGCATATCAACCAGATAGAGAAACCCCAGGTGAATCATCTCCTCATTTCTTATTCCTTCCCACTATTCTATCTCCCTCATTATTTCCTTAGTATTAAGTTAGAATTAAGTTAAGTTTAGTTATGCGCTTACTAGAAATTAATTGTCACGCAATCAGGAAAGATACACCATTGTGCTTTGTTTGGAACAGAGTTCTTCATGTAAATCATGCCAGATTGTAAATTATCACCAAATCAGTTGGGATTCCTTATATAACCTTTTTGTTCAAAGTGAAATAAAGGTACTATGAATATTGTTATAATTGTCATAGAGTCCTTTCTGTACTTTATGTTCGCAGACTGTAATGTACCACTTTTACGAACACTACAATGGCATCCGCGACAGGATCCCAACTTGGACAAAATTAGGACAGTAGTAGTACAATTTTGTTAATGTGATTATAAGTTTATTTGTATTATATACTACTTATTGTATGATAATGGCTACGAGTAATCAGGTTGAGAGTTCTGTAGCCAATGATGAGTCCAATCATAGTCCACCCTTAGTCGTCACTGGGTTTTTAGGCATGATCCCTATGTTCTCTGGATCACAAAGTGATACTGTGAATATAAAACAATTTTTGCAGATGGTCGAGAATATCGCTAGATTGGATGGTTGGAACAATGAAGTAAAGATCGCGGTCTTGCAGTCGAGGTTGAAGGGTGAAACCTTGATGACCTTCCTATGCTTATTGGAACAGTATCCGGACTCATATGACAAAATAAAGCGCGATTTAATTAAATGCTTCCATAAAAGGGAAGCCAGTGACAAAGACATTGTCGACCAATTGTTAAATCTAAAACAGGGAATTAATGAATCTGTGACTGACTTTGCGATATGAACGAAAACACTGTTAGCAAGAGCGGTCAAGGATAAAATAAGCCTATTATGGGATGATATCATAATAGAGCGTTTCATTAAAGGGTTAAGAGGGAGGTTAAAAATTAATGTAGTAAGGAGGCTCCCAAAATCTTTGGAAGAGGCCTTTGAGATAGCTGAGGCCAAAGAGTCTATAGAAATTGAATGTAATGGTTATTTTGAGCAAAAAGGGGACAACGCTGCAATAGAAGAGGTAGAGACAATAGTCAAAGAGCAGGATAGCCTTAGAATACAGGTAGATAAGGGTGAAAAAAGAATGGGTGAATTGGAAAAGATCGAAATGCTTTCGGACATGGTGAGCAAGTTAGTAAATAGTATGGATCGGGAAAAGAGGGTGACCAGCAAACAGTGGATATAGGCCTGCAGTGGATGCAGGGCATTTTGCCTGTAACTGCCCAAAATGCAGAGATAACCGTTTAAACTGGTAAGGGAGCATCATGGGGGGTCAGCATCATGCTCCTACTATCAAAATCATACTAAGAGTAGATGGCGCGCGTAGGACTGGAGACAGCTTGAAAATCGTGCTCGTAAACTTTTCGGTTTTTATCGGAAAAAAAGGAATTATAGTGCGGTTTTTTGTGCATAGTTTGATTGTATTAGTCAGTGTGATCCTGTTAATATCATTCTTATATCGGCGGACCCAATTTTTTTTTTTTTTAAATGACCTTTTTAAGTTTTCAAGGATTCGGGACCGATTTACCGGACTTCTAGACCACATAACCGGAATCTGACAGTGTCTGGTGATAACTTACAACCATGCGAGTATAACTTCAAATTTTGAAGGCTATAGACCCTGCGGTTCTCGTGAAATTGAACTTTAAAGATCAAATTTCGGCGGCCCGCATCGGGCCTCCACACGGTCATCAAGTCAAATCCCCGACGGAACTGGTTACCGGGTTTGTTCGTCCTCATACTGCCAAATTTGGTGAACCTACCTTTAACGGTTTTCAAGATTGGACAGTTTTAAAATTTTAACAAGTTAACAGCAGTCAAGGTTAATGACCTATCATCGTATTCGCTCTATAACGGACTTTTTAACGGACTTTTCAACGATCGTGGTGGAATAAGAATTCGTTGTTGACTTTTTCTACTCTTAGTGGACCTGTTCCTGACAGAGGAAACATCTACTGACCTTCAATATTTGATCACCTTGTCTCGCGATATAATTTAAGAAATAATTTAAGATACATTAAGTTATTTTAAAATAGTTATAAGTAGTTTTATCCTATCTCTTTCTCTCTACACTGTTAAGTGAAGCTTAACAGTGCAGAGCCGATGGTACAATAGCTACCTCTATCCAAAACATACCTTCAGATTTGGGAATTAGGTACACACAGGGATATAACTTTATTCATTTTTCTGGTTGTGTAACATCATGGCAAAAGACAAAGGTTATCCAGTGGAAAACTTTTTAGAAGAATCTTCTGAAATTATAGAAGAGACAAGAAAATATATCGATGGCCGATTATCAACAAAAGCACACAGGAAATATATTCTAGAACAGATGAACAGATTAGTACAATTAGCTAAAATAACACTCGCCGAAATACCTAAAAATGAAGCAATTGAAGAAAAACTAAATTCAATGGTGAATAAAAATGATCTTATGAAATTAATAAAAGAACTTGAACTAGGAACCGTAAAAGCTATAGGAGATATGAGAGAGGAAGTGAATAGTGTAAAGCAAACAGTCAGTAACAAATTAAACCTAACAGAAACAAGTGAAACACTCAAACAGGATATCACAGAGTTAATCAAAGAAAATAATGAAAACTTAACAACTACCATTAAAGGTAGACTGGACAGTTTGGAGGAGAAGTTGAACATGAGGCAATCACCCGCACCGCTCTACAGCTCAATTGTCAAAGCAGGAGTAACTAAAACACATCGAACCATCTTACAACCCAACATTCCACGGGAAATACTACTGGTATATAGTAGGAACAAAGAAGAAAGTAACAGCGATAAAGTTAAATCGTTACTACAGGAAAGGATTAAACCGTCGGAATTGAACATTAGAGTAGAGAGGCTTCGGAAGATCGGAGGAGGAGGTGTGGCGGTCGAAATGAGCGGGCATGGCAATGCAAAAACTTTAGAAACATGTATTGAAGAAAGAATTAAAGAACTCAAAGCACATACCCCTAAAAAGCGGTGGCCCCATGTAGTTCTACATTCGGTTCACAAAGATATTCCAAAAGATGAATTACCAAATGAGATATATACACAAAATCAAATGATCCAAGAACAATATACTCAAGATGAATTTTATAAACAATTCAAAGTAAAGTTTCAACTGGGGAAAAGAACGGCAACATATAAAAATTGGACTGCAGAAGTGTCCCCATCACTAA